CGGTAGCCCAGCGCTGCTCGCCGCGGCGGGAAGGGGCTACAGGTGGGACGAGCCCTCCCTCTGCCTGCCCGGGGTCGAGCCCCTGCGCGGGGCCGAGGCTGAGGCTGTGCAGCCCGACCCTCCGAGCTGCGGGGTTCTCCTTCCAGCCCCATCGTGGCCGGTGTCAGGGAGCTTTGTGCACCGTCTGCCCTCGTCCCTAGTGCCAGATTGTTATTTTTATTTATTGTTATTAGTTATCTTCTCAGTTTGCCTCCCCCTTAATTTCACAAATAAATCCCCCTCCCTGCTCAATTCGGCTGTGCCTTTCCAGGGTGGGCATGTGAGAGATTAAAAGAAAAACATCTCTGTCCGGATGTATTCTGTTTCCTGTGGAAGGGGAGAGGTGATTACGTGTGTCCCAGGTGTCCTGAGGAGGAATTCACCAGTAATTGGGAAGCGCGTGGGTAGAAAGTACTAGGGTTGGCTTGTTTGTTTTCAAAAAAAGTTACTTTGTTACCTGTAAGAAAAAGTATTTGTCTTTTTCTGTATCTTCCCAGCTCATGATAGCTTTTGGTATCCCAAGTTGTCTGTTTGTTGACTTTGGGGTTTTTTTCCCCCAAAGCAGGTTTTCTGTTTTCATTTACAAATGTGATACAGAACATAGGTATAAAATGAAACCCTGCCAAAGCCTTTATCCTATAGAGAGCCATCTTACTTGAATGAATGTGGTGTGGGAGAAGGGAGGGCAGGGCTAGTAGTAGCCTTTGCCCTGCATGGCTAATGTTACATGAATTTTTATTTTCCTCCTCTGAAAAGATGGAAGACTGTTTGGCAAAAAAAATGGAAATCACTGTTTCGGAAGCTGAAAAACGGACTGGGAGAAATGCCATGAACATACAAGAAACATACACTGCTTACCTCATTGAGACAAGGTGGGTGATGAGAGCTCACTCTCAGAGTATGTGGAGGTGCCATTCTAAACAGATTCTCTCTCCTTCCACGCCTAAAAATATTCAGGTACAGTTGATGAGAGGATTTAGCTGGTTTGTGATTTGTTATGCAGTTATCAACCTACCCTGGAGGATCTTTTCCTGTGAAAACTTGGCATCTGATCTCCAGTTCGGTACTAATGCTGGTGTTGTGTAACTGTGTACTGTAGTTCTTCATTTGGAGCTAGGTGGAAAAAATGTATGCTTGAAAGATGTTGCTTTAATATGGTGTCAACAACTGCTTGGTTGTTTCTTAGACATGGGTTGGATAAATTCATATACATATATATGAGAGCGTATGTGCAGCTTGTGTGTAACAGAGGTTGTGCACTGAGGTCTAAAGTAATGGTTAGGCTTGTTTGAGATCACAAGAATATAAAGAAGTCTCATGACTTATATCACGTGGTCAAAATTTACTGCTCCACTAGTATTTGAAGTGTTTTGCTTGATCTGATCACCACATACTCCTTGTAGATGCTCTGAGGGTTAGGGTTAATTAACTATTTCCTTCCTTCATACTAGCTTGAACTTTCACTGGAGAACTAACTGCCTTCAATCTTCTTGTGTTAACAAGATTAATAATACAAATATGGTAAACACGCTCGATACCACAAAGTCAACTTGCAATTTTAAGTATTGAGTAGTGAACAAAGCTTTAAAATATCTTCTAACTTATTGTTACTTCCGAAACAGTCACAGATGATTCCTGTTATGCAGGATCATGTTACTCAGCTGAAGCAAGAATTTCAAAATTAGACTTTATTAGGAGTTTTGTGTCTCTCTTTTTTTTATATGAACAGTTTTAACCTTTGGGCCTTGCCTTGGGAATGATCTGCTGTATAGATAAAACCTTCTGAAACAAAGCAGTTGCATTTTGCAAAGGCTCTGAAGAGTTCAAATTGTAATACTGTCACATAGGTCTTCTAGTTACTGGTTAAGAGGCTTCTTGGCTTGTTTAATTGTTGAAGGTACACACCAATCACGCTGACTGCAGGCCTGCTGGGATACATTTACTATATTTTTGCTAAGCTTTAAGAATAAAATCCAAAATAGACGTACATTATATTTTTCAAATATTGTAGCTCTTTGGCAGTTGCTCAGATGTTTAAAAAAAATACTTTCACAGTTTATTGATATTAAAGCTCACATCTTCTCACATAAGTAATGTTATTTTTCTTTTAATGATATTTCTGAAGGAAAAGAGAAGAAAATCGGAATCATGGGTGTCTAACTGTGATGTGAAGTGTACTCTGGGGGCATCTTTATGCAGCCCCAGAACATGCTGACTGCATCTCCTTTCCCAGTCATCCTTACGTTACTTCAGACTCGCTCCTGCTGGTCTTTCCCAGTGGTTCTTTCATAGTGGCAAAACTGTATTTTGCTGCCCAGATTGCTTTCTTTCATTAAGATTTATTTTATTCTGTGGTCAGCAAATACCAAGACCAATTACATGTTTGTCACAGAACTATTGAAAATGTGGGTTTGTCACATCTCTAATAAAATAGGTTCTCTATTCCTTTTGCTGAGAAAGCAAAATTTCTTGCATAAATATAATTGGTGGCTATTAAATGTGCTTCCTGCTGAGCCTGTAGCTGTAGGTGGGCTTCACAGCAATTTGTCTGTGGGTAATAGGATATTTTGTAGCTGAAGAATAAAACTCAGTTTATAGTAATATAAAAGGAAGACCGCTTAATAATAGTTGCATTAGGTTTATGTGAACTGGGGTTCTGCCATTACTGCTATCTAGGATTTAATTTCAGTTTGAATTGAGGAATTGCATCTGGGTGAATAAGAGACACAAGATGGATGCAATTACAACGACTGTGTATTTGTTACAGAACAGGAGCCGAGTACCTAAACTTTTAACATGTTAGTTCCACTGGTGCTGGTGAAACTGTTCTCAAAATGCAAGTGATGGCATTGCTTCCTTTTTCTTTTCAAAATGAATTTATTACTATTCTCACATTTTCATGTGACTTTTGTTGATTCTTTTTTTTTAAGTGATATTATACCTTGATGTAGATCTGTTTCTTTGAGACAAAACAAATTCCACTACTGTAGACTGCAGAGCCTCAGCAAATTCCAAGGGTCGTGCTTCCTGAAAGCATCCTCTTTCTGCATTAGCTAATTAGATTTGTGGTGAGCTATTTCTGTTCAATTAGTTATTTCTGTTCAATTAGTCTCGAAGTCAGTTTGTTTCACAGTTTCCATTGAACTATACTGTTATTTAAAAATAACTTAGTTTTTATGTTCTCCCTGTGAGAACAGAGGAACGCATTCACCTCTTTGTGGGAAATGGCATTAAGGCAAGTACAAATTCTTATAATTAAGATGTGTAGCTAAATACTTCTTGAGATGCAGGTGCTCAGTGTATCACTTGCTTTCTGTAAGGGAAATTGCAAATATCCAGGACCTCACTTAAATTCAGACTTGCTTACTTGTTAGAAATTTAAGCAGCTGTGTCTTATACTAGAGTCTGCATGAAACTACAAGAACTGAGATAGTATAAAACTCCAAATTTGACTCCTGTTCTTGTACCCTTTGTTTTTCATGACAGAACTGAAAGTTAATCAGAATGCAGAGCACCTCTATGTGCTCTGTGTTGATGGACTTTTAATTATAGTACCTACAGGGATACCTTTTTTTCCTGTTTTTCTTTGAAGTAAAATATTTCTTCTGTAGTAGTAGGACACTTCTATTTAGTTAACTTTGCTTCTGTCCCTGCTGACTTTCAGGTCCCTAGCCTGGTGGTCCTGGTCACACAGTATGATGACTAGAGTGTGTTATTTGGGTGTTGGTTTTTTTTAATGTGGCTTTAGGAAAAAGTAACACAACCTACAACGCAGCCTTGTAGCTGACTACTTAATAGCAGCATCCCTGGTTTCCAGCCCTACTAGTCTTTCCTTCCTTTTGAAGTAATTTGACAGGGTGGCTCAGTATATTTCCTTGTTATTCCCCCAGTATGGCTGGAGAAGTTCCTAATCTTATTTCTGCTTTCAGGATTTGGAAAGTTTTCCATTAGTTAAATTGTGACATGAGTGATACCTGCTTCTCCCTTAAGAGCTTGGATTGCCCATCCAAAGCGTAAGGACTTTTAAAGAGAGTTTCTGTGAGAGAAATGAACTTGGAAATCAGTAGCCAGCCAGGTCACAGTTCAGTGGTAGCAGTGCTGCACCATGGGACTTCAGGAGTTTTTCCTTTGTTACGATTTGTTTGAGTTCCTTTCCCAAAGTCTCCTGTTCCATGTTGGGCTAGCTGAAGAGCCCAGGCGTGCATTTCCTGGGGAGAGGCACAGAATGAATGCCTGCAGAGGTATGTTTTCTTCTGATAAAACAACAAAATGCGGATTTTGGTCACTGAGAGTCAGGAAGACTTGTCTGCTCCGTCCAAAGGAGGTACAAGGGGAAAAAAGAAGAAAGTCTGAATTCGGCAAGAGCTTTAAACAGGGGAGAGTCAGGAGGTGAAATAAGATGGAGGAGGTGAAAGCTTACTTTACTGCTGACTTTTACTTAATTGATACTATGAATCATTAAACTGGCTAGTAGATGTCTATTTTAGTTAAATACAGCAAACTGCGTGACAGTATTTAAAAAAAAAAAATTTAAAAAAATATCACCTGGCTGTGAAAAATCCTCTGGCAAGAGAACTGCCTCTTCCTCATATCATACAGCTTGTCAGGTAACTTCTGGTGTCTTACAAAGCACGTAGTTGATCTATAATGATTGCTCTTCTGTCTGTTGAGAGGCCTAGATACAGAGACCATTTCCAAATATCTAATGGAAAAAGTTTCTCAGCCCTCTAAAATGGAGAGTGAACGTTGTCCGCTGTAGGAGAGTGGAATTGTCACTTCTTGTACACTGGAAGGTCAAAGGCTGAAAGCAAAGTTAACTGCTTCTGCGATTGAAGAGGTGATTGTTTTTACAAGGAAATAAACCAATGTATTTCCTTCTCGTCTGATTTAATATTTTGCAGCCATTCCTCTTTTTACTGCATTGAGAATTGTTTAATGGCTCATTTAAGATAATTAGTTTTAAATGGGAAATGGGAAGAGGTTAATTAGGTGGACTAAAGTTTTCACATTGGCACTTTGAATTAAGGCAAATGAACATGACTTTTGGTGTAATGTAATGTTCTAATCACTTATGATAACATCAGTTATGAACCTAAAAGCTGAAGGTTTCAATTTTGTCTTTTAATTTTTTTTCAGGCGAGTTGGTTCATTCAATGAATAACTTGCATTGTTAAAACTGTACTTAGAGGGGAAACATATGGTTTTCCTGCCTGAAGACTGTACAAGTATTATATTGTGTTTTTAAAACCAAAATAAATTGAGAAGTTTGACTGAATGTCAACAAGTGATTATAATCTTAATTGAAACTGGTCTGCAGTACTTGCATTTAATGGTGGACTTCATAATGTGGTCTAAAAAATTAGATGGTAATGAAGGTATTAAGTGTAATGAGTACCTTTGTGGATTTCTACTTCCTTTCTGGAACGGGGTTCCTGGGGAGAAATGCTCTTGTAATTGGTGATATTTTATGGTCTCATATGTAACCAGGTGGAGACACTTTTGGTGTGATTAAAAAAAATTATTTCTCTCATCTTGCTTGCCTGTCCCAAATCCATCCATGCAGTTTCAAACTCTTATTACCTCGTTTAAAAGGCAGTGGTGTGGATGCAGGCTTATAATTGAGGGCTGTATAGTACTTTCCCACCACAGCTTTGCAAAGAATTTTGCTGCTCCCCTCCTTTACCCAACTCGGCAGCATTGTGTGCTCTAAAGAGCAGAATCTGGCTGCTTTTACTTTTGCCTGAGCGTAAGGGGGAATCTTAAACTAGTATTAATAATTTTGAAATGTGTCTTAAATTTATTTGAGTGGGTTAATTTAAAAAGCATAGCTTCTTTGCTGGGTGCTGCACAGCTGCCCTCCTGAAATGTCTTC